TAGGTAATCTAAGTAGGCTAAACTGCAGTTTAATCGCAATTACAACGGCGGTCGTTTTCAGTAATCATCCTCAATATATTTTTTTAACATAGTATCTGCAGTTGAAAAATACCTGTAGATCACTTTGCCGAAAATATTTTCATTCAGAAACACGAGGAATTTCCCAGCGAGGCATGCGGCATTCGGGTCAAGGAAACTGACACAGACTTTCGAGTTGGCTGTTTTCCGAGTGGGTAATTTGACACTTATGGTTCCGCTATTATTCAGCGAGAACCCATCTCTTCGAATTTTATGGATCGTATTTGAATTTTTATGGATTATTGATGAATTTTATGATATTCCAGTTCCGCAACTGTGCTTGGACGACTACCATTTGCGCTACACAAATGGATTCATTGGTCGTTCGAACGAATTCGGACCACCGGTTGGCTCTCAAATGCCGGCACTTATGAGTGACGGCGAACGCGGCAGCAACTTGTCGCCCAAGAACGGGTCTTTCAATGAGGAACATCGCAATTCGACACGAGAAAGACCAAAAGGGCAGAGGCTCGAGCGTCCCAGTGAGAATTCGGCCAGAAGCGGCTCGACTAGCGCAAATTCACCGAGACATGGCACCAAGCCGGATTCTACTAGAAGTGCCAAATCTAGCCCAGACAATTTCGCAGTGACGTCGGTCCCTACTAGATCCTCACATGCTAGGGACTCTGAAGGCGATCTCCAAGATATAACGGCCTCAGGATCCGTTGGTACGGTGCCCACTCAGGAGTCCATAAAGATGACAGTTCCCATCAGCGCCAAAACATTCTCCCCACCAGTGCCCAATAAGCAGCGGATATTAAATACTACTGTCAAGCCGAATGTTGGATTGACACCGGCTCCTAAAGAACATAAAGGTGAAAAGGAAGTCATTTTGGATCTGGATGACCACGTTAAGAAAAACAAGGACATAATGGTTGCAAAGCGACGAGATCCATCATTTCTTTCGGGACCACTACAACCACATCGACGCTTCCTCCAACAACGACACCGAAAAAGTGCGTCGATAAACACAAGGTGAAATTCTCAGTGATTTTTTTAATATCTCCAAAATAAAGTAGACTTCTTTCTGATTACGTAGGCTATAAAGAATAGAGTATGAAATCTGATGAAGAACTCCCGAAAATGTAAATCGGGAACAGGGGCGATGAACCTCATCCTAGGGTCAGAGGCAGTGTCTACAATTCAAGGCTTGTTTGGGGCCTCGTCAGTAAGCAAAGTCCCCATTACGCTTTACCCATTAATGGGCTCCACTTTTCTGCTTGCTTTGTGGGACGATATTGAAGTGAAAATTTTACAAGTTTTCATCAAAGTTATTCTGCGTCATTAATGTCAAGATCGTAGCAATTTGAGATTGACCCTATTTTCACTCTGTTCATATTATTTTTGCTCACGTCACTCTTACTTTTGAGTGAATAATCAGTTTTAGCAAAGTAAGATAGAGGACATTTGGCCAACTTTTTCAAGGAAATCATATTTTAAAAAGTTGGACTCGGGGTGGAGTTCCTAGTAGTCCAGCCAATATAATAAGATTCTCCCTTTTTTTTTTCTACAGTATACAGTATAGCTCGTTCATGAGCGACTTTATTTTTATCTTGGCGTGACTGATCAGTAGTCTTGTTAGCCTGCTTAGCCTTTCAATATTGCTGAGCTGCCTGTTAGCCTTCCAGTATTGTTAAACTCCTTTTAGTAGACTATCTTCCAGAAACTGACTAAGGTGATTAGTGTAACTGTGAGTCAGTTTCGGGATGATATCCGCTCAAAATTCGAAAGGAGGCCGGGAATCTTCCAAAAACTTTTAACGGAAATCTTCCGAAAACTCTTCAGTGTTCGAGGAATATCAAAATCCGCCTCATATGGCAAATTGCTCTTGCTTCAATCTTGGAGTTGTACAATTTGACTGAGTGAAGAGTGAGGTTGTAGGTTCCAATTATCATTAATTTCCCCATCAGTTTGATATGAGCTCGAAGAAGACTAACGTGCCAATGAGCTAGGCACAATGATTAGGGAGTAAATCGCCACAACGTGGATCTTGCAAACAACATCCATGTTTTTTTCACTGAATTTTGAAATTTCTTCTCAAATGTGGAATGTTCAGCTGTGCTGTTTCTGGGCAGTTGCCGGCGAATGTGAGACAAATCCATTCTGGATGCGTATCAAATGTGCGAAAACATGTGGAACATGCGATTGCTCATGTATGTACCGGAAAGATTTTGTATGATTTTAAACGTTATTGAAACTCCTTGCATTTCATATTTTTTGACTGAGATTTTGAGTAGTGCCGGATCCCGAATCCCCTCCCGTCCCCTAAGTTTTGGTCATTTGAGCAAATGACAGTAAAGGGCCCAGTTCACTATGGCAAGA